TCCGCCTATCTAAAACTTCTTCCCTCAGCTCTCTATTATACACATTTCCTCTTAATTATGTATTTTTTATGATATATTTTTTCTATGTATATTTGTTGCCAAAACAAAGCCCTATGATAAAAGCCTCTTGTGGTTAATAAATAGCACATCTAGCCAATACTGAAATATTTGTAGTTTAAATTCCGCATAAATTGAGTTTTTTACGTGTCCGGCTCCAAAAAAATATAATCCTCTACAAACAAGGATTCCCTAATTCATCCTTTCCTCTTTCATCCTGTGGTCAAAATCGTGACGATTTATCCGCTGCTATCCCCCATCCCCTTTATTAGTAGCCCTTAATGAGAGAATCTTTTCCGATTCATCCACTGCTAGTTCTCATCCATAACTCTCAATTGGCTAAAAGTTGAATTTTCCCCCATTCATCCCGATTAGAGCGATGCACAAGCTTGGAATGATATTCTGTTTTCAGTCTCATGAGATTATTCTAAATTTGCTTTTTGGTAATTTCATGCATGTCTGTTTAAAACGTAATCATAAATTTAAATGTGTAACGTAAATGTGATCATAAATTTAGCCAAACCTGAATTAATTTAAACCCATCGTTGTCATTCAGAGCTAATTTCGAGGGTATATTATAAACATTATACAAAAGTTAAATAAAAATAACGCTAAAGACTGGATTTCTTTAAAAGCTTACTTTACTGACAAACTCTGAAGATGAGGTAGCACAAGGAAGAAAAAAGTAATAATAAATTCCATGCACAGCTAAGATGGAGACAAAGAAATACATTAAAAATCTTGCAAAAAAAAGGGTCTTCTAGACTCGTCATATTTGTAACGATATCTTACCACCAGTACGAAATTTGGGATTATATTTTATTCCAGAAATACGTAAACTTGAGTTTTGAATTGCATTCAGAGGATAACTCTGAAACTCAATACAGTAAAAAACCTTAAAAATCTATCATGTGCATTTTAATTATGTAAAGCAATTTTATTCATGGCAAAATATGGTGATAAATGTGTACGATGCTATCACTGTTTTAAAAAACCGCAAATGAAAATTGCACAAATAATAAAAATAACTTCTAAAAATTTTATAATAACATTAATATATTTTTATAAATTTAATGTAGTAAAATTTAGAGTTCATATTTGAACGCATTAATATATTTAAATCATCGTTTATAATAGGTTGTTATAAATAATAATAATAAATTAAAAGCTTTAAAATTTTTAATAATTTGTTATGCAGCTGTTATACATCAGTTATATGCAATGAAAATAGGAAGAAAAGAATTAAATATATATAAAAGCTGAGTAAAGAAAATTTTCAGTTATATTGCTCTAAAATCTCTCTTAGAATAAACAGCCATTTTTTATCCACATTAGATTAATTCCATTTACATATTACAAAATAATTATAGGAGAATTCTTTAGTGATTACTTAAGGCAATACTTCTGAAAAACTTATATTTCTAAAAATTTAAAACCTCGGTACTGAAATGCAGAACTCCAAAATCCTAGAGTCGTGGATAGTCATGTCTGAAGGGGACTCACTGCATTTTTAATAAAATACGTACGTTAGCCTCAATTGTATATTTATTAAATTTCTAATTATTTTTTCAGAACAGTGAAATAGTAATTATATTGCAATTAGGATTCAAGACTCTACCTACGCCACTGGTTACTACAGTTTTGAGGTAATCGAAGTATGTGAAAGATGGCATCTCTTCTGACTTGTTACTAAAATATTAACATGTTCACAGCACGTATGTAGTAAAAGCTTTAAACAGAAATTCAGAAATCAGATTCTGTCCTTAAGTTTTCTTTTCTGTTCAGTTGTTTTTACCTTGCCAATATTAATTTCCAACATACTATTACTATAAATGATAGAATTATATTCTTTGGCAGAGGATATAATTTCTAGCCAATTCAGTATTCTCACCATAGATTGGCCACAGATATAGAATTTAGAAATCTTTCTCACAGATTTAGTAACGTGTTGTGTATCTACGAGCAGATGTTTTTGTATGTAGAACACTTTTGCAATATATCAACTGGATTATGGACGAGAAAAATTTATATTTCGTTAGCTGTGTGACATATAAGTATATTTATCTACTGTGAATTTTTGGTTCACGGATTTCTTCTCTAACTAGTGCTTTTATTGTTTGTAGACTGCGCTCGTGTTACCAGTCAAAACGTAAAAAGAATATATAAAACGGACTTTTTTCTTGAAGAAGAAGTAAGCATAACGACAGGAAAGAAAATTCAGGAAATGTTCAAAATAAACGTAAAATGACTGTATGATTGTAAATAAATAATGCAGTGAAACGAGAAATCAATCGAACAAAACTTCGGAAGTATCGGATGTAGCAAAAGGTATTCAAGCTTAGTACAAAAGGTACCTTGTAAATATAATACGAGTTTTGGGAGAAAACATTCAAAAGAGATGAATGAGAAGAAACAAATTCAGATTGTAGAGGCATCAGTTTTTTTTTTTTTTTTTTTTTTTTTTTTTTTTTTTAAAGCAGGAGACGTGAAAATATTCAGTGCCCTCGAGCCCTGAACCTCTAGAATACGCATCGAGTATGCTTCCAATTTTACCACGAAGGCATGCGGAAAGGAGAGAGGAAATACCTTATAAGATTTTATCGTATAAAATAAACACTTTCGTATTCTCTCCGATAAATGTAGTTGCCCCATTATCCTACCACTTCGAATGATATTTAACGAAAACATAACCTTGCTCCAATGCTGTAAAGTTGCTTAACTACGTTATCAAGTTGTAGAGTCACTAGGATATTTTGATGCTGGAGACGTGAAAAATGAGCAATGCCCTCGCCAGGACGCGAACCTGGACCCCTTTGAATACGCGCCGGGTGTCCTTTACACCACGAATCATGCAGAAAGGAGGGAGAAAATTCCTTATATACTCATCCTTTTAAAGGGCAACTGGGGATTAGGGGACCCAATCGCCAAATCCTTGTAGTGAAGAATCATCATCCACCTTTTTTATTTCGGGTGCCACTGTACAGTCATTAAGATTTTCCAATGTCAGGAAACTAAAGAAATGAGCAACGCCCTCAACGGGACTCAAACCCGGACCTCTCGAATACGCGCCGAGTGTGCTACCGTCACACTGCGAAGGCATGCAGAAAAGAGAGAAAAAATACCTTATAAAGCGTTCGGTGTACAGCCCACAACGGAAAAAAAAGGTTATTTGGGGGCGTTAGAGGTCGCAATGCCACACCGCCGTCAGCCAAATTCTGTACGAAACCTGTTGTAGTATAGATGGAGTCTGCTGCAACAGAATCAGCACTCGGTGTTTTGGAAATTGCAAGAAGTCTGCCGAGTTCATCAGCATTGTGGATTTTGCATGGGACGTTGCAACTGTATCACTATAAGCTGTAATCGCTGCATCAGCTGCAATCAAACGATATCAATAAGGCGGGAAACCGTTTACAAAGTCACATGGCCGTTTACAAAGTGGTTGATGAATTACAGTGGATTCTGAACTTCCTTTGCACAAATGAAGCGCATTTTCCATTGCACGGAAATGTCAGTTCCATAATTATTGAATGTACGAAGAATAATCTTCGCGTCTACTCAGAGGAGCCATTATACTCGTAGCAATTCGCTTCTTCTTATGTCAGCTTGTTCAATTTTACAAAATTTTAAATAATATTAGTAACTCTGAGTGATCCTGTACGTCTCTCTTTCAACTAAAAAAAGTCTATGCAGCTTCGACTCTTGCACTTTTAACTAATGTTAAGTCAGGATGTTAAAATCATTTTTTACTCCATGTTCGAAATTATTTATTTAACTATCTTCAAAATTACTTTTTTCTGCTATGTCATTTACTGAATTGTTCAATTTAGCTCTTAAAAGAATGTTTTTATTTACAAAATAAAGTTGTTTTGAAGGAAATTTTATATTTCAGCACATCCTAAGAAGATAATTTTATATTTATAAGTATGTAAATTTTAGAAAAATAAAAATATCGCATTTCTGTTTTCGTCTGAGTTTCCACTGAGTTTTAAGTCTGCGTGGTTTTCCGACCACTTTCACCTAACACTGTTTTCTGCTCGATATTTTCAGCGAACACCATCTACTCCGCCCTTGGGGAAGGAGATTAAGGATTACAATAAGCAAAAGGTAGATAAGTTGTTTTTAAAGCTTACTGAATTTTAACAATTTAAAAGAATACGAGCTAACCTTAAATAAATGAGCAATATTTGATGAAGGAATCATGCTGAAATTTATTTAAACTTCTTTAAAGTATTGATTTAGAATTCAAACAACAAAAATCCGCGTTATATTTGCAAATTTTCACAGGACTAGTTCCTCAGCTGCCAAAGCGCAAATGAATTCTATCTTATCTCGTTCATTTGCGCGTTGGCAGCTGAGGATGCTGGTTCGGTAAAACCATCAAAACTAGTCCTGTGAAAATTTCCAAATATAACGCGAATTTTTGTTGCTTGAATTCTAAATTAATATTTGTTCGGCGTTATTTTATCTTAATCTTTCTTTAAAGTATTTAGTTTAAAATAAAAATAGTTCTTACATAAAAGTTCATTGATGAGCTGTTGTGGAGTCCTTCTCTATTAACTTTTGTATTACTTTATTTAAGGAAAAAACTATAAAATTTTGCTAACTTGTTGTTTTACAAATAGGGTTTATGAGAAAGCTCCAGCTCTCTTACTTACATAAAATAAATTTCTCACCTTTTACTTCCCTCCAGGAAGCTTCCAGCTGCTATTTCTCTTACTTTTCTTAAAATAAATTTTCTGTTCCTACAGGAGATGACGCATGAACATTTTATACGCCAAACGTCAACTGTTTGTCCAACTGAGAAAAAAATAAAGTAAAAGTTTAATTTAGTTCAATCATCAATAAAGATATTTGTTTTGTGCAAATTACATTAACATGTTTTTACGTAGTAATATCTGGCACAGCATATGCCGTTATAAAGACTTTATTCGTTCTCTTTCTAGCTCTCAAAAGTGAACACGTCATGGCAGCTGAATGGGATAAAACTGTTCTCCAGGAGCTTGATATAACTGCTACAGAATTATCAACAGAATGCTTGATAGATCTATTAACTAGAATTCCTGGTTTGCGATATCTTTCAGCGGGGCAACAGGATGGCTTTACGGATCAAGTATGTTACTTTTTGACATTTTTATAAATCTCTAGAGATGAAATCAAAATTTATTTAAACTGTAGATACATTTACGAAGAGCTTGATAGCTTTTTAATGTAATAAATATTTGCTATTCAGAAAATATTAATAATTACCCACAGAAAAGCGTTATTTTTTAGATCTTTAATGTTCTTTACAATTATGTTCCAAAATTTTACTTATGCAATGAAAATTTTAAAAACCTTTAAAAGTAATTACAATACATCAAGATCAATTTATGTAACTTTCATGGTCAAGTGGAAATAATTATCTGTAACTAATTAACGGTCCTGGTATCTCGACTGGTTAAGCCACCTGGCTCGTGGAAAGACGATGCTGAATTTAAATTCCCAGCAGGGTCTAGGTCTTTCTGATCATCTATGAATGACAATAACTATCATTGAAAACAAATGCGAAACTTTGTACATCTTTTTTCTATTTTGGGCTTACGACACATAACGGCTCCCATTAATGATCTCGAATTTATCAAGATAACTATTTCAAAATAACTATTTCAAAATGAAATGGTTCTTTGTAAATTAGTAAATATATTTTTTGAATAATTGAAACATTCAATTGAAGCTTTACCCATTAGTGAAGTGTTTCTGAAGTTTTTACTCGAGCTAGATACATTATTAAAATGTATGAGAATTCGGAGAGATTTAATGCAGTTTTTACAAAAAAGATGTACAAAATATTTTCAGAAGAGCAGATTTATCCCCAAATTATACCTTCGGCTACATTTCTGTTTCAGTAAATCTCGGAAGGAAATGACGTTCGTCTCTCTTGCCGATATAAAAACAAAATCTTTACAAATTACATTAGCTAAAAACGAAATAAGCATACGAAACAAAATATTTTTTCAAGAGCTACACATTTGAATATACTAATAGTTAATATTACCAGGAAGTACGATTCAGGTTTAAAAGATCATTGGATAAAATAATTGTGTCACCAAACCCTACAAATATTTGCAGCAGGTAAGATTCGTAGGTTCGTTAAATGATTACAGAAAAGCACTCGAAATGTGTTTACCTTAGGATGCCTTCATGGGTGGATTTCTAATGAAAATTCGCTCGCATTTATGTTGCATGTAGAAAAGGCGCGAAAACCTAGCTCATGAAGCTAACCCATTCTCATTAAAGGAAACCAACAATGTGACGCCAGTGCTCAAAGTTCTTTTCTACTGGGCCGTTGATGGACCATATATTACAATGTATGTGGATGCGTAGATCAGTAGACCACTGTGCTTTAGTTATTCAATCGCAGTTATCAGCTTCCTGAATTTATTTGTATCGGGTATTCAGTAAATCAATACCTGTTTTTAGGAAGGATATATATAATATTGTAACATACGTTTAAGGATGACAGAAGTGTATTCTTCATCACATAACAGAAGTTTATTCTTCACCACTTAATGTTTTAAGTAACTGAAGACGCCTTATTTTCTCAGGAAGGAAGAGAGAGCTAAAGTCGCAGCAACGTACGTAATATGGAATCTCGGTAGTAAAGGTCAGTTATTGGTGGAGAGCTGAGAACTTTCGTGATTTGTTGCACCTTGTGATATTTCCTGTAGAATCGGGCCAAAGAAGAAGTGTACAAGACTCGTCTCACAATTCAGCATGAGCTAGGGAAGAATCCATGCTGTTTTGAATGCATTATCCTTTCATTTCTTAAAAAAAAATGTACTGTAGCACATGTACCCACACTTTTACAGAAATGTAATGATACTGCTGACATAGGGCGGATCCAGCTCTATCGTTATAACTCTTGTGGTTATAGCACTAGAGTCATTAGGTCTATAGAAGCAGGTAACACGAAAAATGTGCAATGCCCTAGTCCGGATTCGAACTCTGCACTTTCCGATTGCTAGCCGGATACGAAGGTCAGCAGTAAGTAGGGAAGAAATACTTTACATTCTCTCCTTTTTAAAGAGCAACTGGAAAGTGAGGCCTCATTCACCAAATCCTTGTAGTGACGAATTATTGCCGGCCAGATTTTAATTCGAGCGCTCCTGAATAGTTACTAGTACAATTTTATGTAACTTTTATTGGAAGCATTATCTTTCACCTTCAACTTAGAAGTAAAAACTATAAATAAATTACCATAAAACTTATAATTTGTAAGCTAGTGAAATGTTGGGCTTTCTAGTTTGCATGTCGTATTCAACTGCTCCCTGGGGAAAATATCCCAGATAAAATGCCTGAAAAATATTTCCCAGCAAAAATACTCCCGGAAATATTATTCCGGAAAATATATCCCCCAAAAAAATCCTAGTAAAAATACCCCTGGAAAATATATCTGTGGAGAAAAGTATTTCAAAAAAATATACTGCTGGATAATAATTAGAAATTATATAAATTTATATCATAAATGTTCTCGAAAATTAATAATCTTAGTAATTCATTAATGCTATTTATTTAGCTCACGTTTAAGATAATGACTTTTGCAGTTAATGAGTTCTTTTATATAAGATAATTACGTTTCAGCTCAATGAGTTCTGTTATATAAGATTTATTGAATCTGTTTCATTCCATAAGATGGGTTTGATTGATATATTCAGCTGTACAACGATATTAAAGCATGTGATTTATCGGATATAAGCTATACCCTAAACTTTGAAAATTACCCTGCATATTTTCGAAATGAATGTTACGTCGATTATTTTTTAATTACTCGTCGTACTGAAGCATACATCCATTCCAAAAATGTTTTTAAAACAGTGTGTGAATATTTGATCTATCATTTATTTTGAAAGAACTGTATCTATAATAAAATACGAAATTTAAATCAGTGAATATTTTTTTATAGATTTATGTATAGCTGACCGACATTGGACTGATGAAAAATAAGATTACATTTAACTTGAGCATTTTTATAGTAATTTAGTTTTTAAATGAAAGTTACTCATCTATTGACTTGTTAGTATGAATAGAATATTCTTATGAGATGAAACGAAATTTACTGAAACCCGCGGTCTCTCTAAAACGACCACCATAGTTCTAGTTGCTTTTTGTTTTTCTATGCAAAATTCTATGTGAAAATAGTTGTCATAGATAAGTGTTGCTCAATATAAGTGTTTGCTTACGTTCTCAGAAATACTACTCATTTTCAGAGGAGGTATCTTAAAGAAATAGTCACCACTACAACGTTCACTGTACTCTATTGTTATACAGAGATAATAAGTAACTAACAAAGGTTATTTATTAGCATATTTTAAAAATATAACCGTACTTAAATACGGTATTTTAGGTAAGAAAGAACATTATTGTACATTTTGTAATAAATAATGTACAGCGGATCCTGTTTAAGACCACACTCTACTGCTCAAATGATTTTGGTCTTCTGTTGCGATTGTAGTCATACTATGGTAATATTTAATACCGATGCCTACCTTGTACTCTTAGTAATACTAATCTCTTTTCGGAGGTGGTCCTCTTTGGGAGATGGTCGTCAAGGTAGGGTTCGCTGTATTTAATAATCATGACATTCCATTTTATACGGCATGAAAGTATAAATAACTGAGCTAAATTTTTCGATTTTTTTCTCCCTGAAATATTTTTTCCGGCATTCATTCTATTAACACTCATATAATTTATAGAATTTGCATTTAAAGCACTAAGCTTTGATTTTTGTAGGATAACTTGTTTTTTTCAGGCTTCTAATGGAATAACTAGAATATTTTGTAATAACCATTTCTTTGATTCTTAGATTAATTAATAGCTCGTTTATATTTTAAGTATTTTTCATCATTCAATTAAATTATTTTTAAAACTATGTTTCAATTAATTTTATAAATATAGTTTTTTAATTATCAGCATCTTTAAATTTTCAAGTTTGAAGTAACGTTAAAATAGTTTTCCGCACCAGTTAGACCAACCGCATCTGTCTTTGCAAGAGCAATTTGGCATTTTTATTGAACTGGCAGATGAACAGGAAAGGTCTAACACTGAACTCTCATATTTTAGCAAAGAAGAATGCATGAATCTTCTCATCTAAAAATACGTAATGGTAAAAACATTAGCTTCTAATATTCCACAGATAACGTTTTTTAAATATCTATAAGGTACTAATTCAGAAGTCAAACAACAAAAATCAGCGTTATATTTACAAAATTTTCACAGGACTGGTTTCGATGGTTTTACTGAACCAACAGCCTCAGCTGCAAAACCGCAAATGAACAAGATAGGAAATAATGATTAGATAAGATAAGAAAGCCTGGACAAGAATAAGCAAGTCGCGCCATCTATTGGTGAAACCAGAACTAAAACATAATTTCTTTAAAGGCCGAAGGCAAATTCGGATTGGAATTAGGATCGTTAACTAGAACAGAAAGATTTTTATGAATGTGAAATGCCTCTAGAAAATCCAGTTCTCCAATGGAAGATGTTTTTTGAATAATGGAAGTTTTTTTTTTTTTTTTTTTTTTTTTTTTTTTTTTTTTTTTCCTTTTAGTGTGTTGAGATGAGAATTTTTTAACTGCTTGATTAATAATTTGGGTGAAAATCCCCTGTCAATAGCTATTGCTTTTAAATAATTTAGTTCTTCATCAAGGGCTAGTTTGGAGGAGCAAACTTGAAGAGCACGGAAAACATAGGAATAAAAGTTAATAAAGTTAGCTTCATTTTATTCCTATGTTTTCCGTGCTCTTCAAGTTTGCTCCTCCAAACTATCCCTTGATGAAGAACTAAATTATTTAAAAGCAATAGCTATTGACTGGGGCTTTTTCACCAACATTATTAATCAAGCAGTTAAAAAAATTCTCATCTCCACACACTAAAAGGCACACTCTTGTTTTAGGAGATTATAAAATTCTGTTGTCATTTCCCTTCTTTCCATCAATTAGCTATAAAGTTGCACATATTTTGCAGAAATTAACTTTCGGGTTGTTTATTATCCATCAATAAAATTCCGAGTTCCATACTCAAGGACCCCATTCCGGATATGAATTCCTGGGGTATTTATAGGATTCCTTGCCA